ACAAGTTTTACTATTGCCCAGCGCTTGAATGGAAATTTATTTTGCTACTGCAATCTGAAATTACACATACAATACAAAATCTTGCAAAATACGTATTCTACTCTTTACAAAAACGTCATAGTTTGTTGGAGGGAAATTTAACTGAAATATAAATTTAATTTGGTATCCATAGGTGAAGTATAAGTTTGTAATATTCAGACAAGCAGTAGCAGTGATTATTCTTGTCAAACGATCTATTTATTTATTTGTGTTACATTTAAGTGTGTACATTATGGCCTATGGCCAATGGTACTGAATAAATATATATACATCTCTAGTACGTCTGTCTCACCAGCACTGTGCGTCCTTTCTCAGTCTCCGCAACAATTTATCCAGTCAGTTTAATCATTTAAAAGTTACTTCCAGTAGTGATTAAAGTAAGTGCTTCGTAAATTTAAATTACAAGCTTTTTTGAACTAAGAATCTAATTTAAACAATCAGATTCACATCTACAGCTTCGAATCAGATCTACAGCTTTCATGCCACATCGATTGAAAATCTGTATTATGTAACATATAACTTAAGCTAATATTTATATCAAAACACAACTTATTATCACCACTAACATCCCCAGTATGTAGTTCAGTTGCCCGATAAGTACCTGCTGCTACTCAAATAACCGGTTACCATTTTGCGATCACTAATGGCTAATCATCGCATTTTGCCCCATTCACTACAAAGTCATGAAAGTGTATTACAAACTATTTAATTTGATGGGTTTTTTCATCATCATTTAATTCCGCATAGACGAGATAGGTATACGGAGTTAAATGTCACTGGTGAATATTATTTATAAAAAAACTGTGGCAACACTCACATTTTATTTTCAAAATACAATAATGATCAGAAAACACAAAAGATAATTTGTAATGTATGCCAACGGTAATGGCTTGCCAATATTTATAACAATTCGAATACATGTAAGAACTATATTTCTGTTTGATTACATTGTTAATTCCTCACATATTACACACAATTATTCCATGTCAGATTGTTACCCAGAAGAGTTTGTTTGTGATGATGGATTGGTTAGTGTGCCAGAGACCCAAAGAGCATGGGTGAGAGTATGCAACCCTGTCATACTCCAGACCCAAATTTGAATCATATTAAATTATCAAACTAATACATAAGTGTTACTGCTGTCCTTGACATTAATATAGTTATTTAGTATCTTCGTATGTGTTGAGGTGGAATGAATATTGTATGTCATGTCAAGACGATATCATTGATGGAGATATTCATATTTGCAAGCGATATATTCACAGTAACCTATACTAACAACACACACACACCATAATTATAATATATGCCAACGCTTATGGCTTGTCCATATTTACAACGATTCGAATAACTATTAAAACTTCAGGACTTATGGATTATATTGATCACTTCCCTCATACTCATACACTCATTTTATCCATGTCAGATTGTCACCAAGAAGAGTTTGTTTGTGATGATGGAGTGGTATGTGTACCAGAGCACCAAACATGCGATGGGTTACCTGACTGTCTTGATGGCAGTGATGAATCACCAAGTAAATGCAGTAAGTATGTGATGGGTTACATGACTGTCTTGATGGTAGTGATGATTCACTAAGTAGATGTGGTGAGTATGTGTTGGGTTACCAGACTGTCCTGGTGGCAGTGATGAATTACCAACTAGACGTAGTGAGTATATTATGGTTTACCTGACTGTCCTTGTGGCGTATTCAATTATGCCTTGAATCATGTTTTATGTATGCTGGTAAATCCCTTCCCCATCTATGTCATTTCAGCTGTGCCACGATTTGAGTGTGAGTTTGGGAGGATGATACCTATACCTCTTGTTTGTGATGGTTATCCACAATGTCTCGATGGTTCCGATGAGCTGAATTGTGAAGACTTCGATTGTAAGTGTATATTTATTTCATTAGTACGAGGCACGTATTTCATCAGTATAATTAAATACAATTAAATGTACAATTAAATGTACAGTAAATGCCCATTCAGTTGTTGTTTTTTTTGTTTTGTTTTTTAATTATATTTAGTTGTTTGCACCAATGGTGACATCGTTCAACGGTTCTCTGTATGCGATGGCCATGAAGACTGTGCAGATGATAGTGACGAATCCGGGTGTGGTAAGCTCATCATATTCAATAATCCTTATTGGTTGTATGCACATGTGTTGCTAAAGATTGGTAGCATCACAGATAGGACATTTTGTATGTGAAATTCCATATATGTTCTTCTTTGGTGGAACTCCCATGGATCGTGATTCTTAACAAAAAGAATCATTTTTGACAGTTCGATATCAGACTAATATCAGCATTGGACATATTTTACAGTTAACATTGATATCTGCACTCTTAGAAAACAACACTTGTATCAAGTCATATAGTCACTTGGAACGACCATAATACCTAGGGTCATAAATACACATTGTCGTTACCTTTTAATCAAATGCGTGCATCTTCGATGGAACGTGTTCGATGATTTATTCACATGCACATCTTACAGTATGAACGTGATCTACATTATCAGCAAAACTCAAACATGTTTGATGCAAGTCCACTTGGATTAATTATCACAAGAACTTCCCAGCAAGATAATATATTTGTTGGCATGACCGTATTGTCGACCAGACGTGTATTTGGTAGCTGAAAATAAAGTTTTCTCAATGACACACAATATTAATGTTAATCGACAGAACCTCAAGCTAAGTGTAATGAACCACAATTTAAGTGTACCGATGGTAGTTGTTATAATGAATGGAGCCGATGTGATGAAGACGGTTGTGGTAAATATTTATTGTATATTATATCAATATAGTTTACTTTATATGATTACTGGTGTAACGTGTTAAGATATTCT